ACGGTAACCTGCAGTTATGGGGTTCCTGCCTGACTGCTAGGGGCAGGAATTAGAGGGCACCAGCAGTCAACCCTGTGGAGTCACCTGACCAGAAAGGGGCAGGGTGTGGGAGAGAGATAAACCAGAGCTGAAGCCAGAGCAGGAAATCTGGCCCTGGAGTCCAAACAGGGAAGAGCTCTGCAGTTAGATGCATGTGGCTCAGAGGTGGACCACGAGCAGACTATTAGGGCTATGCAAAGCTTTGTTCGCTGATTTGATTCGGAGGAGATTCGGCCTGATTCGGCGACTGAATCTTTGAATCCGAATCTAATCAGGAGACCCTTTAATCTCTCTGAATTGAATCAGAAGCCTCCGAATCAACTCAGAGAGATTCAACGATTCAGCTATAGTCATAGCTTTATATGTATTTTCTATGTACTTCGAGGTACCTGGCACAGCTCATGAACACCAAGATGGTGGGGTGGATGAAGCATCCCAAGGAAGCACAAGGGTGGACTGTTCTGTGTGCTCTCAACGGTGAACCTGGAAGTGGACCAGAAGTACTTCCAGTCCACTTCTGGGTCCGCCGCGAAGTGCATGGGGGACCACAAGTGACTGGTGCCTCCTGAACCTGTGGGGGAGGACCTGCAGAAGTTGCTGACCCTGTCAGGAGGGGCACCAGCCCTACTGACAGCATCAATGTTGGCCATCGGGGGGGCACCAGCCCCGCTGGGGGGGGGGCACATGCACCCCCGTGCACACCCTACCAGTTGCCTATGCGGGGGACCATCCCACCCCCTGCCTTGGCAACTGGTGCCTCCTGGGTCTGAGGAGCTGCTGCCCCAAAACAGGTTGTAGCCAAGACAGGAATAGGGAGCTGAAGTAGGCTCAGTGCCCAGAGCAGGGCAGAGGCAGGGCCAGAGTCCCAGGCAGAGAGTCGAAGCAGGTTCAGGGTCTAAGGACGGAGGAGACAGGGCCAGGGGTACAGGCAGACTGAGCCAAAATAGGCTCAGTGTTCAAAGCAGAGCAAGGACTGGGCCAGAGGCCCAAGTAGGACTAATATCAGAGCCAGGTGGCTCAGGATCCAAGGAGGAGAGACAGAAACTGAGACCCAGAAGCTCAGTCTGGTACAGTGGACTGGAGCTAGAGGGCCCAGCAAGAGAAAAGGGGTGGAGGCCAAGGTTGAGGCCCTGAGAACAATTGCACAGTAACATCTGTGAGGCATGGGCACGGTGTAAAGGGACTGATGGAGCCACATAACAGCTCTGAAGGCTACAAGTACCCTGTGGTGGCACAAGTGGTCAAGAGGACCCACTCCGCCCAAGGTGGGCAAAGCTGAGACTAGAGCAGGGACTGGGAAGACCCTGCTGGCAACTAAAAGAACTGGGGTGCACTCTAGGACCCTTAGGCAGCCTCCCTCCCAATAAAACAAATATATCAAAGGCCTGGCAGGTGAGTAAGAAGGGGAGGGAACCCTCAAGCTGGAGCCAGGCAGGGACTGCATGGCTGTCAGGAGGCATCATGGCCACCCCGGAACATGAATTGGCTACATGTTCATATAGAGAGTATTTCAGCAATTTTTCCCAGTAAGATTCAGATAACACATGGTGGAAAACACTATGATGTTTGCACACACAAACTGAACTTGCAATTAAAAGCAACTACATCTATTTCCTTGTCTATTTGTGCATAATATTCCTTATGACTTGGATGTAAAAAACAGGAGATGGCTTTCTGAGAGTTTTTCAGGAACATGCTTGTTCATAGATGCATCTGGTTTTAGAGAGTTAGTATTTTTATTTTAAAGGAACAAAGCAAGCAAGCAAGCAAGCACTGTTCCTAATATTTTGTAATAAGGTCTTCTGGATTCTAGAAACTAAAGCCATAGTGGTTGCTTATGCAAGCTGAATTCTTACAGTAGCAGCCACTGCAGTGATATGAAATGTTTGGTACAAACTTGGACAGGTAGCTAAACATATCAAGGACCGTTTCTATCACTGCAAGATTAAGTGGCCTTAACTGTATCTGGTTTGATATAATGTACATTAAGGCAATATTCAAAATATTTTGCTTCTGGAGTGTAAACAATGCTTCTCTATGGGTGAAAATATATATCTTCTTTCATGTCAGCTCTTAAAAATAAGAGGAATGCTTGGATCTCATTCCTTGTTTAGCATATCAGCTAGACAAGGAATTCCTGTTAGCCCTGTGTCTTCGACCACTAGCCAAGGATGATAGACAGTACAAGTTTGCTTGCTTCTGATTTTTTTTCAGTCACAAGTGAGGTAACCAAATCTATTATGACTTTAATAATGACTCATTTAATGATGAATTCTGTATTCCAATTCCTCATCACATAATAAATAAGAAATTGTCTGTTCAAGTCAGTTATGGATTGCATGGGTGACTATTAAGACAAAGGAATGTTATATTAGAAGAGTAATTCAAGCACTTTTAAAATACCTGTATATTGTTTGAGACCGTCAGATTTTATCATCTCAACAGTAGATACCGGAAGTGCCACTCTCATAGATAAAAAGACTTTTCAAGATTCCAGGATCATTTCTGAGTTTTCAAAAGGTAGGGTATTTAAATGCATAGCATTTGTATATCTGTTTTCTGGCTTGCTATTGTCATTTTAAAGACGTTTTCCTCTATATAGATCCTTGTGCTCATTAATATCTGGCAATGGGATCTGATGTTTGAATATGCAGATTATGGACTTTGACAAAATGTTATCAGTAAAGTCATATTGCATTGAAGCCCAAGACAAGAATATTAGCATTTCTTTCCTAGCAGTTTCTTGGTGTATACAGTATTTACAACAATACTTATTAGCAATAGTGCGCTATAATTTACTGGTCATTAACAGCCATAGGGTTGCTTGGGTTGGTTTGTCTGAGCTGACAGGTTGTGTTCTCTTTTATCTTTTTGGTCAAAGACAAGTCCCAAGCAAGGAAAACTGCATCCTGGAGACCCATTTGTAGCAGCACAGATGGTGTTGCCTACAGGGTCTTATTTTAAGTAAAGGATTGTGTTCCAAGAAGAATGTCTCCTGAGCAGATCTATGATGCAACTAACCAAGAAGAGAGGAAGAGTATCTTTACTCACAGAATTACTAACCTAGTGAGAAGGCTTTAAATTGGGTCAATGAGGCTGAAGAAGAAAAACCACAGGGGAATAAAAAGGAGAAACACCTAGATAAAGACAGGGTGAAATATAAGAAATCTTATCAAAGCTTTAAAAGAAAAATAAGAAAATAAAATGAAAATAAAGAAAATATTATTTGTAACTAATTTGCAGTGAGAAAAGTGCAAGGGGTTCTCAGTTGTCTGATTTATATTTCGGTAACACAGAAATCTAATGCCAACATTTTGTTGTAGTTGATTAAACAAAAATTACACAGAAGGATTCTTCCACTATTGTTTACTGCAAGAACCTTCAGTAAAATTTAAAGTGACCACAAATGCAGAATGTGACACACAGGAAGTGTCTGTAATCCACTTGAATTCTGTTCATTCACCCTGAGTTAACTATTAAGTGGTGGACAAAATCAAATATTGAACAGATAGCAAATGGCCTATCATGCAAATTGAAAAACTGCATCTCAAATAAATGTATGAAAGCCAGCCAAGCTATCTTTAAAACTACCTGATTAAAACTGGCAGCTATTTAAAATCACTTCTAGTTTGTAGTATATAGATCTATTTGAGACAGTTGAAAAGTATTTTTAATTAAAAAGACAAACTACCTGTTCACAGAAGTCCGCTCTCTGCTAATCATCTGCTTCTTTAAAAAAGAGCCCTACAAGCTAAACAATGTTTCATTACTTTCTGGAAGCCTGTGTGTCAACTTGATAGCTAATACATTTAAAATGCCACTTAGCATCATAGTCTGCTGCAATACTAATATATAAATGTATTGTCACAAAAGATAAGATATCATTACTGATTATAATGAAAACAGAAGAAGTTGCAAGAAGAAATATCTAGGTTTCATTCAAAAATTGCTTAATAAGCAAGCAATGCTGGAAAAATGTACTAGATGAAAGACAAATCATCATATCTTGAGAAGTATTCACTTGAAACAAGGCCTGCCATTGTAAGATCTCAAATTGAAAGCAATTACATACGCCTTTAGGCAAAGGACTAATAATCCAGTTGCAAAATGTCAGGGGTTATCAACAGCAGAAGATTATAAAAGAAGAGAGATCTCTCACATCTCTATGCATACACGCCTGTATACCAGAGAACCACAATCTGTCATGTTGAGTTATTTACGAGTGTATTAGAAGAAAAAGAGAGCTATACCTGATGAACAAGGCAGAAGAAGATCCATAATAACCGAATCCGCTCCTTTGGTGTAAACATTTATTTCATCTGTAATGGGGTGTCTAACCACCACTGACATTCTCTTTCTGATGGAATCAAAGCCCAGTGTGTGTAAGACTTCAAAGGTTAACGTTCCCAGGTGAGGTAGCTCTATTGATACCTGGTCAGACAGCCTTCCAACCAGAGTACAATTATATGCCCTAGCTGCGTAGACGAGTGCTGCTTCATCTGGACTCTCTGCCTCATAACGGAGTTCTCCTTCCTCAGGCCCGCTCTCTATAGCCCCTTTCTCCTGCTGTGCACTATATCCATTGTTATTCATCTGCACAGAGTATGCCAGCTTCTCTTCCAGTTTTAATAAAGTGCTTTCAGTAGATGTAGATGAAAGAAGACTAGAACCAAATCTGTGCATTGATTTACTGGTAGCCAAGCTCGATGAACTACTGCTGTTAGATCCAGCTGTCAGGCGGCTGGGAGTGAATCTCCGAATGAAGTCTTCTATAGTCTTTACTGGAGACTTCAATTCAAATCTAACTCTGACCTTGGGAAATAAAAACCAAAGAAAGCCAAAGAAAAAATACATGAGGCATAGACCTTTACATTTGCTAACTCAAGCTAGGGATGCAAATTTCAATCAATATCAAAAAGCAATTTTATGTATACAAAGGGCTTAGTCTGTCTGTCTGTCTGTCTGTAACACTCTTGGGGGGTGTAACTCCCGGAAGTGCATGGCTCTTGTCAGTGCTGCATGTGGGGAGAATGATGGCAATGATGGAGCAGGGCGAGGAGTGGGAGGGGGTACAACAGAGGGGACAGAGCGCCGCCATGACAGTGGGAACAGAGTGTGCGTTTGGGGGGGGAAGGGGAAGGCCAGTGCTGCTGGCCTCTCCACCTCTGGTCCTTGAAGATGGTGGTGGCACGGGGTGGTGGCTGAAAGGGGTGGAGAAAGCAGAGTGGGACACTGAGGTGCCACCATGATGGTGGGGACAGAGGGGATGGAGTGGGGGGAGTGAGGCCAGCAAACTGGTTTTGGTTTTTTATCTTTTCAGATATCAGCAAATGGAAATTACTAGTGAACCAACACTGGTAATACACTTCAAAAGCTAGTATTAATATGAAACGTGGATTCTGTATGTATAGTAATTGGAACTACTACTTTCAATGGAATAATTTTCCACTGGCAATACAGTGTTGTAGTAATCAAAATGTTTTACATGAATTTGTCATTTCCAATGACATTTTAGCCAAGAAAAAGCTAAAACAAATTATTTTGATTCTCTTTACGTTCAGTGCTGAAACATCTTGTTTTTAATTTACCAGTTTAGTTCATTTTATTTAGGCTATTGTGTAGCATTACTCATTTTAAAATGTAATGCTATATATAATTCATAATGGTTTGACATAATTGAAAAAACCCCCAACATTATCAACATGTTTGAATGGTTCCAAATATTTTTGTTGCTAGAATTTTTACTATATATGGAAAATTCCAAATTTTTGTTTCAATTTGAAATGGAAATAGATTTTTCACAAAATGGAAATTTCACCTTCCAGTCAGGTCTAATAAAAAGTTACAACATCATCATCATCATCGTCTTGTTATATATTAGCTTAGGATTGCCTTGCTTCAGTTCTCATCAGAAAATGATAATACTTACACTTACCAGTTATGAAAATTAGCCCAAATTATATATTTTATTTCACTCCATTTGAAAGATGTACAAGGTATTCTCTCCAGCACATCTCCATTTAAAAAATCTTTCTAAAAATATGAGTCTTTTATACATTAGTTAATATAGTCAAAACATTTATAGGGGAGCTCTTATATAGCTTTCATTGCAATGGATTCTTACAAAGTAACCTAAATTTGGCCAATTGTATAATTGAATATGTTACAATAGGTGAACTTCAGAAGGAAAAGATTTTAGAAATGCTTAAAAAATTTCAGGTGCATGTAAAAATATTCTTGGGGCAAATTAATCAGTTGATGTACTTTCTTTTTTTTTGTCTGACTGACTGATTGACCTCTAATGTTAAACTCACAAAGATTGTTTTCCTTATTGAAGTGTGAATTGGTACTGAGAACTGCATCATAACCTTTTCTCCTTTTCTCTTGAAGAGGACAATCTTATGTGACTCCCTATTTAACAGATAAGCACATATCTGTTCCACCACGCCATCCTTCTAACCTACCTTTTGTCGGGGCTGGTTTGGAGAAGTGACAACAACGGTATTACAGATAGTCAAAGCTATAAAGAAGTCAAAGATGTCTGAAAGTTCAGGGCTGAGCTGGGATAATGGCTGTTCATGGCTTCTCATGACCTCTAGATATCTTGCACATTCATTCACTTTTTCTAGCAAGTTAGGATCAGGAGTGATGTCTTTTTCCTTGAAATGGACAAAAAAAGAACAGCATTAACAATTTGCAGTTTGTGTATTTCAGTAGTTTCATCAGGTCTCAGATTCAGCTGGTTCTGTTTGCTGTATAACACTTCTATGGCAATCTCATGCATTTCAGGAGAATTTCTGCTCAATTTTGTGAACATGTCCTGGCAGGGCATCTCAGGAGCTCTAAGAATTCTGCAAACAGCTCCATTCATTTCAGCAAGTTTTGATATTGAAGTGTAATGATGACAACTTTAAAGTAAGCGGCAATGCTCTTAACTCTGTATTAGTGATGATTTTAGCAAAATATTCAGCTATTTGGGGACTGTGGATGGAATCAGAACAGCATATAGAAATCCCTTTCCTTTTTCCAGTCTTACCTAAAGCAATTATTCTACTGTCTTGTACTGTTAGCTGACACAACATCTAGACCTATATAGTGAAAAAATAAGACGGCAATGAAACTGAAAGCTGGATGTAATATCAAAACACTTAAAAAGCTTGAAGCCTCTGAAGCTGTTTGCTAATATACAGAAATTATTGAGTACCACTGTATTTTAACCACTACATTTGAGAGCAGTTTACATGATACATACATCACAATGTCATACATCCTTCACCTTTTAAATAGCTCTTACTCATTTTCAGACCAAAGATAAACATTTTTCTAAGAAGGCAGAATGCTTGATGCAGAAAAGATAGTGTGGTTTTAAAAGGACATCCTCCTCGTCAAAGATGACAACTTCTCACAAAATTTCCTTTTGTATTATCAAGTGTTGATATATAAGATTTAGAAAACATCACTTCAACTACATTTTCTGCCTATAAGATGTTCTACTTAACAATAATCTTGAGCCACTCATAAATAAAGTATGGAATGACTTATTTTTGGCAATTTCAGAGTGGATTTGAATATTTACAATGTGAATATATTTTCATAGCAATAATGTGAAACTGATGAAAAGTAAACAATGGAGTTATCTTTCTTCTTTCAAGGAACTGTTTTTCTGAAAAATTCAGAACAAAATACATTTCATTTTTGCAACTAACCATTGGACTGCTGAATGCAGTGTGTTTGGAGAGGATGCTTGCTCTTTTTGCTTCAGCCCTGCTTCCAGTGCGTCGGTGGGATTTTGTACTTTGGCTTCTATGGACAGCCTTAACACTCTGATGACTGCAGATACTGTCCCGCTGGGATAATGTTACTCCTTTAGGTGCTGTTTCCTCCTCCTCTGAATCAGGTTCTTGATACATTGCTAAGCGTTTGGCTGTCAATAAGAACACACAGAATGAAATATTAAAGTTCTTTTAAGGAAGCAGGGGTAGAAATGGATGGAGAGAGAAGTGATGGCCTAGTTTTTCTATGTGGTTTATTTTTAGTATAGTTTTGCAGTTTACTATAAGAATGAATTATTCTATTATTACAGCCTATCAAAGACTAGTCATAATTAAACATCAATATCTAATGACACTGCAGATGAAATAATTAGCAATTTAGTTCACTACAATGCCTCCCTCATCTTGAGACTCACTCTGACAAGGCTATTAGACTTGCAGAACAAAAGCTCATGAATCAATTGAAGCTCATTATGAAATTGTCTTCTAGTACATACCTTGCTAAAACCAATCAAATGATTTGCTCTTTAGTTTTAGTCTCTAAAGGTACTAATAACTCAAAACCTACAAAACAACACACCTCAATCCTCACTTTTCTCCAGCAAAAAATGATCAACTTTAACCTAACTTGCATTTTGGTCAAAAGAAATGGCACAGTGAATCTTTCCACCATTTAAGTGGCCCTTATTTAAACTTACAGCACCCCTGGGAGTTATTACTTATTTGCTCAAATATAAGATAAGGTTTTTTCCAAAATTAGCCAGGGGACTAAGAGCTCCTCCTCATACATTTGTATACAAGGAAACCTCATTAAATACACTATCATCAAACTGCTGTCAAAAGCAGCATGTGCTCAATAGTGGAAATGAACTGTGAAGGTGATTAAAAGACACCAACAATGAGCATAGGGCAAACATACTAATGTGAACCTAACTACACAGATAGGGGTGTTTTGTTTTCGAAAATTTTTCATACTCCAGGTCAAATTAGCCAAATCAGTTCCAAATCCTCTCCGTTGAGGAAAACTCAATCATTCAAACACCGTATGTGGTGCTACAACTAGCAGGTATCCTCTACCCCAGACTTTTCAGCCTGGGACTTCAGATACTCTCAAATCTGTTGGTAGGAATACTACGCGCAGGCCCAAGCTCAAAGGACTTGGATGCGTCTTGCCTATAGCCAATGGCCACAGGAGCAAGCTAGGGAGGAGTTCCCCATTTCCATAAAGCAGCCGTGTAGATCCTCCCACTGGAAGCTGGCCAGTGGGAAGCTAATTATAAGACTGTCATAGGGCTTCCAGTGGATTTGGGTTTGCTAAATTAACCCTTCCTTCCATGTGCTCGGGTATACCAGGGTCTGACAGTAAGGGGGGGGGGGGGGGGGAAGGAAAGAGTGGGGGAAGACTCTATCCAAGTCTCCAGAGTCTGGAATAGACTCCTCACAGAAGTGGTGCAAGCACCTACTCTGGAGACGTTCAAGAAGCATTGGATGATTATCTGCTTGGGGTCATCTGACCCCAGCTGACTTCCTGCCCTTTAGGCAGGGGGCTGGACCCGATGATCTTGAGACATCCCTTCCAGCCCTTATGTCTATGAAATCTATGAGTTTCAGGGGGAAGAATCTGGGGGCGGGGGGCAGAGAGCAAGGGGGTCACCTGACTCCCCCAGATTTATTTTCTCTGTTGTAGCAGAGGGAGGGGGACAAATTCAAGGAAAACCTCCAATAATTAGATTCTATACCTGGAAAATTATCAGAAATGTATGTTTTCCATATATAGAATCTAATTATTGAGGTGTTGTGTTATAAATAAGAGTTATCTTATATTTGAGTGAATACTGTATTATCCATATTTTACACACTAATGTGGAGAAGGAAATTAAGCAGAGAAATGCTAAGTGACATGCTCAAGGCTAAGGAAGTCTGTGGCAGAGCAGGGAGAGGACTCTAGCTTCCTAAGTCATAAGCTAATGCCCACACCATGGGAACAAGCTTTCTCTCTGAATAAAAATCTACTCCAAGTGAATGTACAGTACATGTAAGTTAAGTTACAATAACTAATAAACTTTAATAGGCCGCCAAGAATGATTTTTTAAAATCTCACATTAGTCAAAGAGTCATACATAATGTGGCTTCTTGGCCCTGAAGAATCTATAATTGGTATAAATAAGATTGGTGCACTCATTTGATTCTGTTAGTTATGTACTGAAGACCATAATAACAAATGTACATAGAATTAAGTGAGTAATATTCACTTCAGATAGCTTTCCTAGTGAGAAACAATTTTAATGAAATCCTCACTCAACTACAAGAGTTTATGACCACAACCAACATTGGAAGCAAAATCAGGATAAGGAAGAATAAAAAAAAAAATGTGCAAAGCAGTGGTAGTAAAGTATACAGACTGACAGGTTCCTTTTATTTATTTATATGTTTTTTTCATGCCACAAGGAATATGGCTACTTAGTATCTGGACTATTCATTAAGGCATTTATCACTTTAGCAGGTACCCATTTATCCCTTTATTAGGTATTCATTGGAAAGATTTTCATTATATTCATAGAAACCAAAGGATAATAATACACAGTATACTGAATGCAACAGTGCCATATTAATGAGGGATGGAAACCTTCACTTTTTTCAGTTTTCTGATGCAGCAAATCAGGCTGAATCATCACACTTGAGGTTAGTGCTTAATTATTTCACATAAACATTACATCAAATTATATTCCATTAGAATATCATTGAAACACCCCCTTCTATATCATTCAGGTGAGTTTATCTAGTGCTTTCTTTCAGAAAGCTAACTTTAAGATTAAAAACAAACAAAAGTAATATCTCCCCCCTCCCCAAAGTAAACCCCCGTACAAACTTCCATCTACAATCCAATATCATTTTCAAACTAAGGTTTAATTTTGCAAAAAACAGCCAGAGGAATTGATATCAGCTAACACACAATATATGGGATTTTTTTACTGATGCAGATATTATGTGTCAGACAAAATTTTTTAATAAATAAATTCTGCCACACCCTGAACTACAGCATTCTTTAAGTGAATAAAATTCCATGCATGTCACTGAAGAGTGCAATACACATCTCTAATCAGCTGGGATCCTGGCTTTCTCTGATGTAAAAGAAATCCCAATTTCCACTTAAAAAAAATTAACCCCAAATCCACATTTTTCTGTGATTAAAATGAAATACCACTATATGCATATATACATACACACCTACACACACACACACAATATTAATAGAATATTAATATAATAATGAAAGTGAATGTGTGTGTGCATGTGTGTGTATATATATATATATATATATATATATATATATATATATATATATATATATATATATATATATATATATATATATATATATATATATATATATATATATATATATATATATATATATATATATATATATATATATATATATATATATATATATATATATATATATATATATATATATATATATATATATATATATATATATATATATATATATATATATATATATATATATATATATATATATATTATATATATATATTAGTGGATTAGTAGTAACCCCTCGGTCACCTTATTAATGACCGTACTTCAAATTTACCACACCCAATAAAGAACACAAAGGCCCAAAGAAAGTTTCTTAAACATAATCTAATACCTTGTGAGCCATGTATCGAGTGGCTTTAGAATTTATAAAACCTGATTTGACCAAAGTTCTTTGACTAAGGCTGATAACTTTTTAAGCTGTAGAAGGTGTTTCTTTAAGAACGTTCTGTTTTCTCCACCTATTTACCCTAGAAACTGGTCAGATTCAGAACACTTTTCCATGAACTTTATATCCTGAAAGACTATTGTTGGGTGATTTCCAGATTCAGCAATTTCTATTAAAAAACATGATCTCCTTAGATGTTTTCCCACATAGATGGTTCTGTATAAGAGCAAACATGTAGAGACAACTTTCAGAAACAGTATACTACAATCACTGAAAGTCAAATTAGTCACATAGGGCGCATCTACATGTCATCGTAAGGCGACATTGCTATGGCTCCATGCTTTAGTACTTCCTTTTGGAAACAGTCTTGCAGTAGTTTATAACTGTTCAACCTAGTCATCCCTTGGGGCACTCTGGTGAACAAACGTTCCCCCAGATACTGGTGGTCACCCCTGATAAACTTATAGGTGGCCATCAGATCACCCCTGAGCCTGCGCTTTTCTAGGCTAAAAAGCTCCATAGCTCTCAGCCTGTTGTCGTAGGGTCTGTTTTCCTGACCTCTGATCATGCGCGTGGCTCTTCTCTGCAGTCTCTCAAGTGTCTCCACATTTTTTTGGAATTGTGGGGCCCAAAACTGGACACAGTACTCCAGCTGCGGCCTCACCAAGTCCGAGTACAATGGGAGAATGACGTCCCGGGATTTGTCTGAGAAGCATCTATGGATGCAAGCCAGTGTTTTGGTTATTACACATCTATTGTAATAAGAAAAATCAGTACTTATTCCATGAACTAAGATTCTCACTAGAAGGCAACAATAATGTTTAAGATGAGTATTCTAGCAATTGACAAAGGTATCTGTACAGATATTATTAAATTATTTATTAACAATTAATAACTAAATCTTACTTATTAATACAAATGAATCTTTAATATAATCCTACATCCAATGCATTAACATTGTGGAATCCATACTGCAAGCCAAATGAGTCGCTCTAGCCAGAGAGATTCTGCAGCCTATGAATGTAATGCTAACACACACTACACATGCATGCACATGATAACATTCACAGTAAGATTTACTTGATAGGAGCAATATAGTCTGCAAGATGTATCTATGATATTCTGGAGTAGGTCTATGGGTGTTGCCTTCCAAAGTGATTCCAACCAGCATTCCTCAAATGCATTTGAGACCCTTACTGCCCACAAATCAATGCATGACAATTCTGATACTTGAATTCCTACTCAGGACTCCTGATGGGCTTGTACTCTGGTTGCTGGCCTGTGCCAAAAAAACCCCATGCCTTCACTCCGTCTTCACTTTTATCTCCACTAGCGAAATCAGTCATGCTGATTTGCTTTGTAGACATACACTTAGAATGAACTATCCATTTTCTAGAATGCTACCTGCCATACAGCCCGATTCCA